ATTAATAGGGAATAAGTCACTTGTATTTAGAACTTGGAAAGTGAAGGAAAAAATAAAAGAAGTAAATATTAGTGTCCAGTATGTGCCAAACACTATTTTATAACTTTTCATGTTGACATCTCATTGGACCTTCTAGATAACATTCTCAAGTGACTGCTATCGCCTCTTTTTTTAGAAGAGAAAAATGACATCCCAGGGGATAATTTTTCAAGGTCACACCTAGATGACTGTGTGTGATGTGTTTAATACGAATTCAAGCTTTTCAGATCCCAGCATATTTGCTCTTTCTTCTTCATCACACTTTCTGTAAAAGGCACTGAGATTAAAGAAAAGACTGACTAAATAATTTTCTAAGATAAGAATAAGAGGTGGATAAGAGATGGGAAACTGAATGTGACATTTAATTCTCAGTTATCATCCAACTTTAAGACATAGCCAAGCCAAGAAAATTGACAAATAATTCCAAATAGAGGGAATAGAATTATGTTATTTAAATTTTCCCAAAGTAAATCATTTCTTACATTCAGGTTGCAGCTTGGAACATCATTTATCAAACATATAAAGATTATGTTATCAAAATGGTATTACTAATAATTCTTTATCTATGTAAACATATTCATTTTAATAGAATTCTATCTTAAAAATTGCCACTCAACTTTCAATTTTCACATTACTCTGTAGTCACAAAATAATTAAGGCTCCTAGACACACCTAGATCTACCGTAAGCAGCATCTAATTTGAATTAATATTCAGACACCTATTGAGTACTTTTCATGTCTCACTGTCCAACTTTTTCATTGTAGAGGCCATAGATTAAATATTTAAAGTGTGGATTCTGTACTTGGAACAATGTAAGATTAAATCCTGAATTAAACATGTATTAGTTTTGCAAACTTGGGCAAATTATTTTGTCAATTAAAGCCTCATTTTTTATTTTAACAACATCTAACTCAAAGTTTTATAATAGTTAAATGAGATATTTATGCAAAATATTTACAATACTTGACATATAGGTTTGCAACAAATGAAAACTATTTTCATTAGTATTTGCTTTTTAAGCTAGACTATCAGGTTCTATTTCTACTCAAGGATGAAACTCATACAACATCTTTTTGCCTGGTTCATGTTCTTTTTGCATAATTATGATGAATGCAATGAAAAAAAATTAAGAAAATGGAGAGAAATTTTATGTCCATGAATAGGAAGAGCATATTTTCAAGAGGTTGATTTTTCTTATCTTTATCTATAAATTCAATGCAACCTCTAAAAACAACAGTGATTTCTTTGGTGGATATTGACAAACTTACTCTATAATTTATATGGAGAGGCAAAAGACACAGAATAGCAGACTCATTATGAATGAAGACCAGCCCTGGCCATGTGGCTCAGGGGATACAGTGTCAGCCCATGTTGTTCAGTGAATAGAGTATCTTGGTGGCAGGTGACCTCGACCTACCTAGGTTGCAGGTTCAATCCCCAGACCCGTCAGGGTATGTGTGGGAAGCAACCAATTAATGTGTCTCTCGCACATCAATGTCTCTCTCTCTCTCTCTCTCTCTCTCTCTCTCTCTCTCTCTTTCCTTTTCTCCTCACTCCCTTTCACTATCTCTAAAAATAAATATCCTCTGGTAAGGAATAACAAAAAATAAAATAAATAAATAAAATGGTAGGAAAAAAAAGAGAGAACAACAAATTTGGGGTACTGATATTACCTGACTTCTAAACTTATTATAAAGCTACAGTAATCAAGACAGCGTGGGATTGATAAAAAAAAAAATACACAAGCACTGGAACAGGTTAGAGAAATCAGAAATAGACCCTCATAAATATATTCAACTGATCTTTGACAAAAGAGCAAAGGTAATACAGTGTAGGAAAGGCGGTCTCTTCAACAAGTGAAGTTGAAACAAGTAGACATTCACATGCAAAAAAAAAAAAAATGTAGGCACAGACATTGTATTCTTCACCAAAAAATGACTCAAAATCAATTATAGCCCTAAATGTAAAATGTAAAACTCTAAAACTCCTGGATGATAACAGGAGAAACTTAGATGTCCTTGGATATAGCAGTGGCTTTCTAGGTACAACACCAAAGGCATAAATCATGAAAGAAAAAATTAATAAATTGGACTTCATAAAAATTAAAAACTTCTGCTCCGCAAAAGACAGTGACAAGATGAAGAAATTACAATTACAAACTGGAAGAAATAGTTGCAATAGACACATGATAAAGGACTATCATTCAAAATATATAAAAGATTCTTAAAATTCAACAATAAGAAAATGGAAAACCCACTTAAAAAAAAATGGACCAAAATTCTTGAAAGTCACCTCACAAACAAGTTATACAAATGGTAAATAAGCATATAAAAGGATGATCCACATATATGTCATGAGGAAAATGCAAATTAAAACCACAGTAAGACATCATTTCACACATATTAGCATGGCCAAAATCCAGAATACTGATAATACCAAATAATGTTGAGGCTATGGAGTAACAGGAATTCTCATGCACTGCTGGTGGAATGGAAAAATGGTACAGCCAATGTGGAATGAAGTTTGGTAGCTTCTTACAAAATTAACTGTTACCATATGATCCAGCAATTGTGCTTCTTGGTATTTACCCAAAAGAGTTGAAAACTTATGTCTGGACAAAAACCTACAAATGGGTGTTTACAGAGCTTTATTTATAGTTTCCAAAACTTAGAAGCATCTAAGATGTCCTTTAGTAGGTGAATGGATAAATAATATTCCATCTAGACAATGGAATATTATTCATTGTCAAAAGAAAGGAGTTAAGAAGCCACGAAAGACACATGGAAACCTTAAATGCATATAACTAAGTGAGAAAAATTCAATCTGAAAAGGCTATGTACTGTATGATTCCAACTACATGACATTCTAGAGAAGGCAAAACTATGAAGGTAATTTTAAAAAGTCAATGATTGCCAGTATTTAGGGGAGAGAAGAAGTAGAGCCCAGAGATTTTTAGGGAAGCACAAGTACTCTGTATTAGATATATAATCAATTTGCCTGAACACATAGAATGTAAACTATGGACTTTGGATAATTATAATCTGTGAATGTAGGTTCATCCTTGGTACCTGGGTAAAAAAAAAAAAAAGTGTGATGTTGGTGAATAATGTTGATAATGGGGAAAGCTATGTATGTGTGGACGTAGGGGCTATATAGGGAATCTCTGCATCTTCCTCTCATATTTTTGTAAACCTAAAATTGCTCTAAAAAAGAAAATGTTTAAAAAATAAAACACATAAAAGAGCTATTATTAATTAATGAATGAACAATAAAAACATATACTAATAACATAATAAGCAAACTATGTGAACAATTACAGAAATAAATGAAAAAAAACCTGTTCAAAACAGAAACCAAAGGCATAAAAATTAAAATTGCAATTTATTTTGGGGCAAAAGTTAGATACATTGTTAGTGATAATATATAAGTAAAAAACTCTGAACTCTCTCTCTTTTACAGCTATCTCAATATGTGTCATGTAAATATTAAAATATGCAATGCCAATTTGTTTATCACAATGCTAAAATGTTAAAACTTTCAGTATGACCTAGTTGAAAGATTGAATAAATTCTCTTGTAATTTCAAGGGAGTGTATTTTGAAGCTCTAAAACATCTTTAATCTTTGTTAAGAAGAGTAATATATGGCAAAATTTAATTATGTGTTAATTAAAACAAATTTCAATTTTATGGGGATATGTAATATTTTAATGTCTTATTTTTTATATTTTCCAAATTTGTTACAATGTACACACAGTATTTTTGGTAATCAGAAATAATATATTTGAAATAAGAGATCAGTAATTTCAGTTATTCTTCTTTTACTATAGCTACATGTACCTTGGTGGATCCTGAGAAGTGTTCAAAATCTTTTGGTTTCTGTAGGAGACGCTGTTTTAAAACAGAAAAGCAAATTGATATATGTTTGTCACCAAGTAAGATTTGCTGCTTTGAGAGGGATTTTGAAGACGATTAATCTGGAAAGGAAGATGTACCTCTACCCAAAGAAATCATGTGATCACCAATGCAGAGAGAGATAGAAACATAAGTAAATAAACACATAAACCAATGTTGATATCTTCCTTTGTAGGCACTATTTATGTCTTCAATGAAATGAGATAGCATCTTTTTTATTGTGTCTACACTAGAGGTTTTGGTAGAGGCATATTATGGATAACATGTTTGCTTCAATTTAGGACCACTTTTGACATGCTATGGTTCAACTAAACTTAAACAATTAAACATTTCCCAACTTAACTATGATCTCATTACAAATTTGATTCATAAAAATTAACCATAGGCTTATCAATTATCTAGCTGTCATCAACATGTTAGTGATGTTAAATGACAGGACACCTAAGTAATGTTATGAATACATAAGTAACAGCAGAGCATAGGGATACCCATTGGCCTTTCCTCTCTTCTCTCAAGTTTCTGCTCATTCAAAAAGGCATGTTAATTGAACACTATCTGATTCTAGTATTATTAATCTGGGTTTAAATACAATCTGAACTTTGGCTAAAGAATTTAGACTCAAAATATTAGCTCAGCATTTTCTTAATTAGTTCTGGATAGCATAGGAAATGCATAAGGTCTGTTATTTCAGCCTCAATATAAGCAATAGACAACCTAACTAGCTCTGTAATGCTGAAGTTAGGGAAGAAAAATGGAGACTGAAATTTTTCCAGCTAAAACAACCCTTTATTAATAGTCTAACAGCTTCCCAAAAATATTTATTAATTAACATGTCCTTTTAAACTATCTGAACTACTGGTCCAAGATTATTGCTTTTTTTTTTTTTTTTTCAATTAGAAGTCTGGTGAGACAAGTGGGAATTTCCAACTTAAACAGCTTGTAACTGGTCAGGCATCGTTTTTAGCCACCAGGAATTTAGGTGATGTGTATCTTTAAAAAATGTTTAATTCAGAGTCAAGACAATTCCGGGGACCCGGGAGTAAGGCCTTCCTCTGTCGCCATGCACCGACAGAACTTCCGACCCCTGACTCCTCCTTACCCCGGCCTGGGTGTAGGAGGTTGGAGCAGCGGGAGCAGCTACTGGGGTACCTCCCCTCGGGACACGTACGGGAGCCCTCCCCCCCCACCCCCCCAGGGGCCGGTAGGGGTCTCCGTCCCCTGGTGGCTACTACCCTAGCTCCTACTCCAGGTTCCCCGCGGGGTCCCAGCAGCAATTCGACTACTCCCCAGGGCAGCAGACCCACCCTCAGGTAATACATAGCCAGCGTTTGCGGAGTTCTTACTGTATGGCAGGCATGGTACCAGTAATCCCTGTCCGTGGATTATTTTTTCCATCCTTTCTGAGGGTTCTCCAAGGACATCTACACCTTTTGGATCAGGGCGTGGTAGAGAAAAAAGAATGTCTAATGAGTTGGAAAGTTATTTCAAACCTTCAATGCTTGAAGACCCTTGGGCTGGCCTAGAACCAGTGTCTGTAGTGGATATAAGCCAACAGTACAGCAATACTCAAACATTCACAGGCAAAAAGGGAAGATACTTTTGTTAACGTTTCTGAAATTCACCTGGAAGCTTCATGTGTCAGGAACATCTTGGACAAAACTCACTTGTGTACCTAAGTTGAACCCTGACATGGTGACTTTGACTGAATAATTAGTTGAGTCTTCTTGGTATTTTTCATCGTGTCAAATATTGTTGGTATTAGAAAAATATGGTAGGATAATTTGCAATATTTCCCTGAAAGTGCCTACCACATTTTAGAAGATTTACAGTTTCCAACTATTCAACATTTTTGGTTATATAATGGTCATTTTGTCTTTTAATGTTTTTCCAGTGTTTTAAAATAAAACATTTTGTCTTCCTAGCCAAAAAAAAAAAAAAAAAAAAAAAATGTTTAATTCATGTAGAATGTACAAGTTAGAGGCAAGGAGGATAACCCAAACCTACACAATCACAAATCAGATACCATGAGGATTAAATTTAATTATTTCTGAAGAGAATAAAGAAAAAGCTCTAGGGGTAAGGAACAAGTTAAAAAAGTTAAGTGCAATAACACATAAGGCAAAAATAATTCAAGATTTATATTAAAACTGTGAAGAAAGATTTTGGATAGTGGTGATGGCATCATAGTAGCTTAAAATAGAGCAACTAAATGGTGAAGTCAAAATTCATGAAAAAATTTACAACAAACTAAGTGACAAGATATCACGACTTACATTATCATATAGATGGGAAGAGAAAAAAGAAAATCAAGAGCTTAAAGGCCTTTGTGGAATCTATATCTGTGTGGGAGAAATCCTATGAAGAAAAGCAACCTTTTGATGGCTCTGAGAATGGACGATCCCCAGAGTGCCAACAACATTCACAGGAAGGATAGCATGCCAATTTGATTCCAGCAGCTATAACTGGGAGGAATTTTCCAGTCTAATGGTGGGTAAGTGAAGCAATAATAGGCAGTGACTGCCAGGGCTGGAGAAATCTATTCTTCTGAACCCAAACTGACAAGACAGGACTTCTATTAGAAAAACAAAACAAACAAACAAACAACAACAACAAAGCTCCTGGGAGTGTGTATGTGTGTGTGTGTGTGCGTGTGTGTGTGTGTAAAATGGAATTTCAGATACACATTAAAGGAGGAAAAGAAGCTGAAATGAAGCCAGTCACCAAAAGGCTAAAGCAAAGGCTATTTTATTTTCCATATGGTGTGTGGGTAGCAGCTGTTTTACAGATTCTCGTTGGCTTTTTATTATGACTATATAAAAATATGACTATAAAAAATAAACCATAAGAACAAAATAAGATG